GTCTAAAATTTACTCCATTATTTTACCTTTGGGGTTTTCAATCTTTTTGGATGGAATTCTTTAAAAAAAAAATCACAGTACTATTGCTTATGGTATAGTAAACAGAGAGTGGAATTTAGATGGAGAGGCTTATGATTTCAGTTTCTTTTCCATCACTTACTGGCCGTTATCATCGGGATAACTAACACTCTTCACCTTTCTGAGCCTGAGTAGGGATAAAAATTGTTAAGGATTAAATTAAATAATACCAGTGTGGGATTCTTATATCATGCAATGTTTGTAATTACATGGAGATATGTATAACTTACATGTATAACTAAATGTGCCTTTTACTTATGACTCGTGGCCATCATGTGTGTAACACATGTCTTTTTGTGAAAACATCAGTGGTTTGATACTTTGGACAGGTTGTGTATCTACTCCAGGGTGTTACAAGGAAAGTAGGCTCCAGAGTGCTTGCCCAAAATCACTCACTGTGAGTGTCAAGGCGGTTCTCATGTATTCTAATTTCTATCTGAGTGTTCCTTTTGCTAGGTCACACCATAACCATTTAACAGTATGTTGAAACCTTTAAGCAGCATTTAAACATTCTTTTGACTGCACCAGAAACCAAATCAGCATCCTAGCAGCCAGCTTCAGTCCACACTCTTAACTTCCCAAACTCCACTGGGAAACATTATGTCTGCTGCTTATAGAATTCTGCCTAAAGGATTTCTGCCTAGAGACAGATAAGCTGTGTTGCATTTTAGCAATAATAGATGTAAATAGGGCTGAGCCCCTCTGATTTCTGGGTGACTTCTAGGTTCATGGGCAATGGAGAATCCTCAATTCAAAGTAACAGAGGATTGAGGCCTTACTGTCAACAGGCTGGGATGGTATTAGAGCTTTATTTTTTTGACTCTATTGCCAATTATTTGGTGTCTTATAAAATTTCAAATTTGTAATTATTTTTGCCAGATTAAACAAACTCCCTCTTGGTTAGGTCTAGCTGACCTAATACTAAGGATTAAGAAATCTAGGTATAATATTAAGGCAAGTCTTGAGAGAGAAGGAGCAGTGTGTGAAGAAGAAACATCTGTCTTGATGAGAAAAATACCTATCAGAGTATTGAAAGTATGTTAAAAGTGGTCAGATTTTTCTTTGTCTTTAAATCCACCATTGATCCTTTTTATTCATAAAGACATTGAGCACTTGTCTGTTTCTCCTGCTCCCCATCCTTCAGTCAGCTCTACCTCTATTAACTTGAGTATCTATTTTTAATCTTCTGTTGTCCTTTTAGGAGCCCTGGTGGTACACAATGGTTAAAACACTGGGCTCCTAACCAAAAGTTTGGTGGTTCTAACCCACCAGCTGCTCCACAGGAGAAAGATGTGGCAGTCTGCTTCTGTAAAGATTACAGCCTTGGAAACTCTATGGGACAGTTCTGCTCTGTCCTGTAGGATTGCTGTGAGTCAGAATCAACTTGATGGCAGTGGGTTTGGTTTTTGGTTTGGATTATCTTTTTGTTCTGTGCTGCTTATGTTTATTTTATAACAGTAACTTGTTTCTGATTATAAAAATAACACTTGAAAAATAAAAAAGTATAAAAAAGAAAATGTAAAAACAGGTTATTATTTATTTCCCTCTAATGTAAATAACCCAAAAACTCAACTAAACCCACTGTCATTGAGTCGATTCCTACTCATAGTGACCCTGTAGGATAGAGTAGAACTGCCCCATAAGGTTTCCAAGGCTGTAAATCTTTACGGAAGCAGACTGGCGTATCTTTTTTCTGCCCAGCGGCTGGTAGGTTAGGACGGTCAACCTTTCAGTTAGCAGCCGAGCAGTTTTAACCACCGTGCTACCAGGGCTCCCTGTAATGTAAATAACCATTAATATTTATGGTATTTTCTCCGAATCTTTTTTTTCAACGTATAGCTATTTTCACTTAACGTGACATGGGTATTTTCCCATGTCCATCTTACTGCCTTTTTTAAGTTTTAGAATATATAAAGTAGCAACTTAAGAAAGATAAAAGAACTTACAGAAAGATGAAAATACTCTTAAGTGTATATTTTGTAAACTAAAGAGTTAACATACATAAGAAATAGGCATTAGCATTAAGTTAGTGTTAACATTAAGTAGGATTGGTTTTAAGGTCCTGCTTAAGATTTGCTTGGCGAAGGTAATAATATGTCCAGCGCCCTCAGTGATCGGTGTGGTATGGTAGGGAAAGCACAGGCTTTAGAACCAGGCTGACCTGAGAGTGAATCCTGGGCCCACCACTTACTAGCTGTGTGATGTTGGACAGTCACTTAATCTCTCCGATCTTAGGTTTCCTCATCTTTAAAATGGGATGGACAATGCTTGCCATTCAGGGCTGCTATAGCACTACAGACAATGAATATGAAAAAAGTGCTTGGCCCCATGCCTGGATGTGTTAGGCCTAGGATAAACGATAGAAGAAACATAAGACCTAAGACTTATGAAATTTAAACATTATGGAGAGCACATTATGACCATAATAAACTATTTTAAAAATATTTATTTGTATAATTTACTGTTTTCCCTTTCTCATTCTAATACATTACTGCTAAAAGAGGTGTAGAAAATGCTTAAAAAGTGACACTGCATCAAACATGGTTTCTACACCGCCAGGATCCTTAATTATGAGCAGCAGTGGGCCCCATTTCAGGTTGCAGTGTCTGCTTCATCTCCAGAAACCCTTTTTGAAGGTCTGTAGTGTGACAGGCCTGCGTTAGGCTTTGGGGACTCACAGATGAGCTCCCAAGGAACATTCACAGTCCAGGGCAGTAGTGAGTGATCTTTTCTGCAAGAGATCCAAGTCAGAAAAAGCAAAACCTTTTCAGGGCACTTAACAACAAAATTTCTGAATGAAACTATGTAGCTTTAGTGAGCCTTATTGTGGGTAGTGAGGGTGAGGGTGGAGGTATAAATTCTGAAAACTTAAATTATTTACTGAACATACAAATATAAATGGAAAAAATAGTATTTCTATTAGGCAGTAAAAGGTTAATAACTGTGCGTGTCTGAAGAAAAGTAACACAGAGACAGCCTTCTGATCGTAATTTCCAAATTAGACTGCAAAGTTAGGTGTGCAGAGGAATCCGTAAGCTGATCCAGATGTCTGATCTAGAATGAGTCAGAGATGCAGACACACCTCAAATAAATGTGGCAAATGTAATAGATAAAGTTCGGTGTTAGGCAAGTAGTTAGTTCTTATTAGAGAAACAAGAAGATGTCTCCAAGGAAAATGATGCTTAAATGAATAGGAGTCCACCAGGAAGGATAACAGCCTTCCAGGCCCCCCTAAAAAAGCTGTGTATGCAAGACACAGAGAGTATAATGTAATGCAGTTCAGAGAGTGGAATGTAACGGTGTGCTTTGCGGTGGGCATAAGGAAAAGGAGAAATGAACTACAGCCACTTCACTAGTACTAAATTTGACTTTTACCATAGGCAATAAGATTTTTATTTCTATTCCAGAGAAATGTTGGAATTGTTATATAATTAGTAAAAGCAGAAAGAATAGCACAGCCAATCAAAATCATTTTTAAAACACAGAAAAGGCACTTAAGTGTGCCTTTGCTGAAATTGGACCAATTTTAGGAAAGTGAGCAGCATCCTATTCCAGTCCAACTAGCAGGCAAATGCCTCAGTAAAGAATTACCCTACCACATATCTGAAATGTATCAGCATAATAAGTAACCTGATTGATGATACAGCTAAAGCATTTGTCATGACTTGTCATATTAAGGGAGTCCCTGGGTGGCACAAACGGTTAAGCACTAGGGTACTAATTGAAAGGTTGATGCTTCAAACCCACCAGAAGTGCATCAGAAGAAAGGCCTGGTGATCTTCTGAAAGGTCACAGCCTTAAAAACCCTGTGGAGCACAGTTCTATGCATGGGGTTGCCATGAGTCGGAACTGACTTAACAGCAACTGGTTTGGTTTCAGTTTGGTCATATAAAGTGTTAAAATCCATTATGCCTTCAACTGCTGATACTGTCTGAGCTTCCGATATTCACTGCCAATATGGTTAAAGGTAGCTTTGCAAGGAGGAATTTATAGAAATAGTGAAAAATGTACAGTTCTCTTTAAAAATTAGATCAGTGATAAGAGACACTCTGGTAGGGGAACAGGCAGGAAAGACATTAGGAAAGAGAACAGTTGATAGCATAAGACAAATGCTATTCTTCTTGCATTGTTTTTTCATAATTATTTCCTGATTTTTCCCTTTGCTGTAAACACTAGATGGAGAATCAGAAAACCAGGATTCTAGACCCAGCTTTATCATTTTCTAAACATCTGTCTCAGACAAGTCCCTTTACTTTTCTAGTCTGCAGTTTTCAGATGTTTTGAATGAAAGGATTTTCAAATAGGTTCCACAGGATGTAGCAGAGGTGCTTCGAGGGCCACTCTGGAAGATGAAAGGAGGCCTCCTGCCAACTTGTCCCTTTCAAACAAAGCAGCTTTGCTTTTATTTGTATTATAAATTGGGACTTTTATAAGATTTTGTTTGACAAAAGGATTCTGACACCTTTAAAAGTTTGAAAATCACTGAACTAGGTGTTCCATAAGGCATATCCAGCTCAGGAACAATTTCCATATGGTAGAATGGGGATAACAATAGGTCCTTTTCATAGGTCTCTAAGGGTTGAACAGATTATTACATGTAGAACACTGCATAGCACATAGGGACATATTAGTCCCCCTCCCCCACCTTCACACACACACAGGTTCCACACAAATAAGACTGCATTTCGTACAACTCTTATACTTTCAGTATGAAGTGATGACCTGAAAACAATTGCTTAATACCAACACCACTATAAAAATGTCTTGGACATTCACGCTCTGGATTTTTAACATAACTATTTCTGTTTTTTTATACATTGCTTTTTCCTCCCACAACTGAAAGTTTTCTTCTTCTATATCAGATCTTGAAATAATTATGACTAGGATATAATTATGAAAGTTAACATTTCATCGTGTTTCAGGCTTGCCGGTTCGTGGGAAAGTGACATCAGCATCCATTCTCTCACCCTGCCCGCCGCAACCTGCTTGGAGCTGCTGTTGATATTATCAAGGAGTAACGCCATGCTACCTCCGTCCCTTCGCTATATGAATTCTTTTCAGGTAAGGAACTGCTCCTTTACCAGGGTAGGATTTTGTGGTTTTACTTGCTATAGTTGTTTTTCAAGGATCCTGTCTTCCAAAGGAGATAGCTCATGGAAACCCACAGTTTCAGATAGTAATAATAATAAGCATAATGCATGCATTGTCTTGTCTATCTCTTTTTTTTAATAAATGAACAAAACTGAGGCCCAAAATTGATTAGATAATTGTCTAGTAGTGGCTGAACCCAGATCTATGTGACTCTAGGATTTGTTCTCCAAGCCTCTTTCCTGCATCTGAGAGAAAATGCAAGAACATCTGGTGAAGACATTTGTGGATGCTACTTCTTCTCTCCCAGCTTTACTCTAAAAGCAGATTGCCTAGAACAAGGATTTTCAACCATTATCAGTGGCTTTGCTAGCACTGTTAGCTTGAGGCCAAATTACCAAATGAATGTTTAATAGCGCTGCTCCCAGCACCATTTCCCTTTCTCTCTAACTCCTCCCTTTCTCCCTCATCACTTCTCTACTCCCCTGGGTATTTTTCTGTGCTCCTGAGATAAAGTACATGGTCACAACAGAACTCAGCACTGCAAATGTGGACTGACCAGCAGGATGGCTAGCAGGAAGAACCTTTCCCTGGTAGTCAGCTGAGGTGGCAAATGATAATAAAGATGTTAGCTAATCACCTAAGTTGTGACCCCACAGGTACTGAATGTAATCGAACATATTTGTGACTCTTGACAATGGAAAAATGTTCATGAACTCCCTAATGTTGTGTTGCCGAGGAAATAAGTAAAGATGGGGTTGGTTCTACTTCCGAAGGGTTTCATCAGTGTATATTGTTTGGTGCACCTCTGTTATGTGGTCTAACAAACAGGACATGTGGATTTTCTTATGAATTATATCCCAGAAAATTGGTGGAGAATAAATGCTGTGATCTAATTTGCATCCATAGCTTGGGAATCTGTGACTTTGTCTCTGTCGTTTTCTTTCTGTTCTGAGTCCTGGGCGTTGATAAAAGTTCAGATTGGAACCTTGCCGTATCTGGTTATATTTGTTGTTACTCGATTGTCAGCTTCAGTTCTGAACTCTCTAAGGGACCTTAGTGGACACCTCCTCATTTTGTAGAAGAGGAGACGGAGATCCAGAGAGATGGAGTGAGTTGACCAGGGAACACCTAGCAAGTTAGAGACAGAGCAGGATGGAACCAGGCCTGTGCCAGGGTAACTCCATCTGTCCCCAACTACAGTACTTGCTACAGTGTTGGTAGATGGAGGGGTTGTATGTAGTAGGTAGAGGCAGCTTGTATCCACCTTGGAATGTCCACACATACCCCTTATTTTGCAGTAATTTATAATTATTTTATTTATTTTATACTTCTGTGAACCAGAAAAAATTTATATTTCTATATATCAGTCGATATTTCTTCTGAACTTTCCTCATTGGATTAAATACTGAATAACATAAAAGTTTGTACATACCCACAAAGTTTTATGGGGGAAGACACAAGAAACTTAACAGTTGTGAGTAAGGTTGGAAGACAATTATTTTTTATTGCATTCCCCCTGTATGGGTTTGATATTCTATACAGTGGATGACGGGATGGGGGACAAGAGGAGAAATGACTCTGACTTCAAACATTTTACAGCCTGTTGAGGGAGACAAGACAATCATGCATGTGTGAAATAAATTGAGAATAATTGTATTACATACTAGCCTCAACACAAGTCTTAAAGAGATTAAAAGTGAAAGAGTAAACAGAATCTGAGGGACTTGAGAGGAGGACTAATCTGTATTTCTTCTCTGTAAGACAGAGGAGGTCTTGCTCCCTTTAAAGATCTCAACTCAGTCTCATGTAAACAAACACATGTGCTTGAAAGCCTTGCCTGTTATTGATAGTGGTAGTGTTCTCTCTTAGCACCTTTAATTACAGGAGCTCTTAGAGCCTAGCTATCTGAATGTTAATTACTGAAGTGCCCTTCTCAATTGGTGATTGTACTTCCTCTAGTTTCAGTCCATTTGCTGAATATAATTGTCAGGAGCACATATTCTTCCCCAGTTTCAAAGGTACAGAGAGACTTGGCAGAAGCGTGAATAATGTCAGGCAAAGAGATTCTGCCCCTGTTGTACCTTTGGAAAAATGTATTCTTATCGGGAATATGCCAGGAGTCGGATTCCCTGTGGCAGGTCTTCCCTCCAAGATAAAGGATCAATGAAAATGGGGACAGTGTCTGTCAGGATTAGAAAGAGATGCTTTGCTTTTTCAGCTTTTTAATACCTGCTTAATCATTTATTACAATGGCAAGGAATGGAGCTGCTAATTTTGCACTTATTTGGGAATTATTTTTTAAATTGGAAACTCAGTTTAATGCACATTTTTTAAGCGCTGTATTGGCAAGAGCTATAAAATAGAATGACACTTGTTAAAGATACCATCTTTACATTTCCAATTCTCTTACTTTCTAGGCCGAGTCACTGTGAGCAATGCTTCCTTTTCTGTAAAACTGATTATTTTAGGTTTCTGAAGATTTGAATGGAACTCCTGCTTGAGCCATTATCACTGCCAAACCCCAAAGGGAAGGGCTTATCTTATTAATTAGAGCTACTAACATATGTGAAATTGTAACTTCTTAAATTATAGTGTAACATTTCTCTCAGGCCATATAAGGGTATATTTTGGGTTTGTTTGTTTTTTTTAATTTTTTTTATTGTACTTTAGATGAAGGTTTACAGAACAAATAGTTTCTCATTAAACAGTTAGTACACATACCATTTTATGTCATTGGTTAACAACCCCACGACATGTCAACACTCTCGTTTCTCGACCTTGGGTTACCTATTACCAGCTTTCCTGCCCCCTCCTGCCTTCTAGTCCTTGTCTCTGGGCTTTTGTGTCCCATTAGTCGCGTTTTGTTTTATGGGGCTGTCTAATCTTTGGCTGAAGGGTGAACCTCGGGAGAAACTTCGTTATTGAGCTAAAAGGGTGTCCAGGGGCCATACTCTTGGGGTTTCTCCAGTCTCTGTCAGGCCAGTAAGTCTAGTCTTTTTTTGTGAGTTAGAATTTTGTTCTACATTTTTTCTCCGGCTCTGTCCGGGACCCTCTACTGTGATCCCTGTCAGAGCAGTCAGTCTTGGTAGCCGGGCACCATCTAGTTGTACTGGACTCAGTCTGGTGGAGGCTGTGGTAGTTGTGGTCCATTAGTCCTTTGGACTAATCTTTCCCTTGT